CCCCTCGGGAGTCATAGTGGGGGGAGGGGCAGGAAAAGGGCAGTTGCCTCCGCCCCCCCCCCGAGTCATAGTGGGGGGAGGGGCAACATTTGGACTCCCCCCCTTCCCTTCAGAGCTATCAACAGGGGAGGAGGGTGGAAGCAGCCGAGTTATTTTCCCTGCACCTGCAGAGATGTAACTTGGGGCAGCACCAGGACTCTAATCCCTCAGCGCTTAGTTTGTCCCAGGGCTTGCCTGGCACTTCTGGCCTCGCCCCCCCCCCGAGTCATAGTGGGGGGAGGGGCAACATTTGGACTCCCCCCCTTCCCTTCAGAGCTATCAACAGGGGAGGAGGGTGGAAGCAGCCGAGTTATTTTCCCTGCACCTGCAGAGATGTAACTTGGGGCAGCACCAGGACTCTAATCCCTCAGCGCTTAGTTTGTCCCAGGGCTTGCCTGGCACTTCTGGCCTTGACAGTTCGCAGCTACAGCACCTCAGGTTGTTGCATCAGTTATGAAAGTAAAAAAAAAAATGGTTCAGTCCTGACACTTTTTTCATTATTATGGCTTTCTCTCGAGGAGTAATAGGAGGAACAGTAGCAGGGCTGTTGCCACCCCCTGTCTTACCCAGTGGATAATGGGGGTGGAGGGATAGGAGTGGCACTGCTGCTGTTTCCCCTTCCAGTGGCATAATGGGAGGAGACGTAGCAACAGTGCGCTTTCTCCCCTTCCCCTCCAGCATAATGGGGGTGAGGGAAAGTAGCTGTCCCATCCTTTCCAGAGTTATAATGGGAGGCTTGTAGCAGGACTGTTGCTCTCCTGCCTAAGTAGAAGTATAAGAGGAGCAGCAATGGGGCTATTCTTTCCCTTAAGAGGTATGAGAGACAGTCCACTCAGAGGTGGGAGGGCTAGCAGTGGAGCTTGTGGGCCTCCCATTTGGCCTCTGAGGTTCTTGGGAGGTGAGCAGGGCTGTTGTCCCTCACCACCTGGCACTGGGGAGTATGATATACCGGACTCGCTGTGGAAAGGGCTATACTTCAGGTTCCGGGGAAATGTGGTGCCGCAGGCAGATGAGGCAGATCTAGAGCCAGCCTCCATCAACCAACCTTCATGTCCCCCAGACTGCATAGCATGGATTATTTGGATTTTCTTTCAGCTATTAACTGGACCAGGACCTGAAGAGAAAGTTGAGAATACCTCCCACTCAGAACAGTTCATTTCAATATTTAATTTTCCCTCTCATCCGTATGGTTTTAGCTGAGAACTACAGGGGACTTTTCACTCACTGAAATTGGAGAACCTCCACAGGGTGATAGCCATTTATACTTCTCTCAAGAGTAGAACATGTTGGATTTATTAGCAAAATTTAAGGTGTAGTTGAAGCTGCCGAATGAAATTTGTTGAAAATAATTCCTATTTGGACATCACAGGAAGTATCCCATATAAACTTGCTTTCAAGAAGTTCCCCCATTAACGTCATAATTTAGGTAAACTATCTGCACTAGGTTTCTGTGTGTTGGTTAAAACTCAGTTTGCCTCTTTCCTTGGACCTTCATGATTTTTAAGTCTAATGAAAGAGAAACATTTGTTAGGAGACAGAAATATCTGACAACACAGCACCTTCATTTTTAATACAGAGGTGCAGCTCATAGAAATGACAGGTCCAATGTGCAGCAGAAGAAAACAGCCTATTAAGATAACTTTAAGGGGAAGGTGACTCGAGACAGACTTTAGTAACATGAATTAAACAGTTAATTAGAAGAGTGGAATTTTGTGATTGATGCATGAGCTGCTGATCTCTTAAATTATCTGGAAGAAAAAATAAAAAATATTTCTGCTTTAGAGAAACAATTTTGAAGATTGCTTTTGTGACTGAGATACTGGATTGAGACTCAGAGAGCAGAATTAAATTCCTGTGCCATAGATTTCCTGTGTGATCCTCAGCAAGTAGCTTAGGCCAAAATTTCAGAATGTAGTCTGATTTTTGGTTCCTCTCAATAAGAAGTCTAGATCAGGGTTGGCCAGATCACTGACCCTCTGAGCTGCATGTGACAATCTTTAGAAGTTCAAGAGCTGGGGTGCATCTATCTGTTAGATCTCAGGGCTTCAGCTGCGTGAGAGGCAACTGCTGTGCACCTGCTGATGCTCCCCTTCCTTCTAAGTAGAAGCTCCTAGCCCCGCCATCCCACTGCAAGGCAGAGGTCCTGAGACACCACCTCAATCTGGTAGGTGGAGAATTCAGGGGCGATTTTTGTGAACCACACTTCAACAATAAAAGAACTGCATATGGCTTGCACATCACAGTTTGGCCTCCCCTGGTCTAGTTTATTAGAAATTGCAAATCACACACCTTCTGAAAACCAAGTCCTTTCAATGTGTGTCAAGTTTGGACACTCAAAATCACTATTATCTATTTCACATATGGAGGAAATACTTTTTTCACCTATTGTCTGTCTAGACGAAGTATTTCAGGAAAGGGACTGTTACTGTGTATATGTCAATGCTAAGGATAGTGGGTACCCTGATCTCATTCGGGTCCCTGCTTGCAGCTGTAATACAGATAACATTCCCCTTAAAAATGCCAGAGACTTGACTAGGTTACACATACAATTTTTATGTGAAATCAAGTCCCTTATTCCTCATAAATCTTAGTTGCATGTGGATCAGAACCAAGCACTGGAAACCTTCATGTAGTTTTTTACTTTTACTTGCTTAATCTGATAATTTAATTAAATTTAGTGTGAGATGGTTTTAGTTTGTATAGGGCATATGTCAAACTAGAGTAGTACTTACATGGCGCACATTCTCAGATGAGTCTCTGACTCTTCAAATCTCTCCTGAAACCTTTGCTGTGCTTAGTGTTTATTTAATTAACACTTAGCTTCCCTCTCCTATGTCCACCTATCTCCTTTCACTGTCTCATAGATGTAAATTATTTACAGTAATGCATCTTAATTTAATTTCAGCTGTTTCTTTTACTCTGTAGTAGGTTTTTTGCTCATTGTATAAGGCACTGTACATAGTTTTTTTTCTAATGTTTTGTGTTGTTTAATATTATTTACATTAGACCTCAGCAACTTTAATCGGGACTAGGTCTTCATAGTGCTGGGAGTTGTACAAATACATGCAAAAATACAATCCCTGCCCTTAAAGAGTCTTGTGATCCTTCTTTGAAAGAGATTACATACATTATTTCGTAAAATATAAAACATCATGGTTACATTTCTTTTGTGAATTACATGATTCTTCTACTAGAAAACACACACTAGTATAATATCTGTAGAAATCCATGTGAATGTAGGCCATGTAAATCAACTAATGTATGAAATTTATAATGCAACTAAATTCTAGTTTCTGTGAAAATCCATAGTATTAGAATGTTACTAACTCAAGTGCTGTAATTATTTTTGGTGAGCTTTCATAACATTCTAACTAGTGAGCCAATGCCTAATACTCCTTTTAGGAATATTTTACTAACAGCAAATGGTGTAAACTATTGGGAACTGAAAATCCAATCATTCTACCTCTGTCTTCCTTCGTAATAAAGATTATGGAGTCAGAACTTGGCTTACAACTTAGTTCATTTATCTGTGTTCTACAGCTGTATTTACTCTGCAGAGTTAAGTGTGAATCAGATATACAGAATAGATTTATGATGATAGAAACCATTTTTGCAGTCACTTTTCTGACTGACCGCAACTTAGTTTTAAAGAATCACCATGATCTTTCATGGCAGCTTAGTTTCATTGTGATAGACACTTAATTCTCTTTTTCTCCTTCTGATACTCAGTACCTTCTGTCTGTACATCTGGAAGCTCTGTAAAACAATGCCACCTGGCTTATATTGACTAGTGTCCCACACCTCTCTCCCCTTCCAGTGCACAGTGCAAGTGAAGCTGGAGCTTGGGCACCGAGCCCAACTCCGGAAAAAGCCCACCACCGAAGGGTTTACTCACGACTGGATGGTATTTGTCCGTGGCCCAGAACAATGCGACATCCAGCATTTTGTGGAGAAGGTGGTCTTTCGGCTACATGAAAGCTTCCCTAAACCCAAACGTGGTGAGTGTCCATGTTAATGAGCATGCAGTCTCCTTTCTCTGGGGGATTGCCGTCCAGTCTGGGTCTGGCATTGCACTGTTGTTTCTGTGGAACGTTTTCTTAAGGTGGAACAAAACACACATTGCATACACTTGAGTCTTAAGCTTTGCCACTTCTGTTTGAGGAAGATTAGAAAGAATTTGACCTTTCCTCTAGTGAAAGGGTCAAAGGTGAAATGTTTCCTTCCTCTCTTTTTTTGTTAGTGAAGAATTAGTATATGTCTGTTTTCAGTGCACTTAGTGTCAAGAGAATGGGGTAAATGACTATCATGTTACATGGTGAGAACCACCATAGTGGTTATGCAGCTGTCTTAAGGGGATGCTCTGATGCTAAGAAAAGCAGCTTGAAAGGTGGTTATTCTGTCTGTAAACCTGTACAGGTAATACATGTGGTTATGGCTGGGAGAAGGTGTTGGATAAACTAATTTATAGAAAGACTTGAGTAAAAGTTTGTTTGTAGTGCTGAGATTCTTGTTAGACAACATAATTACCTTTAAAACAAACATCTTTATGATGACTATACATTTTTGCTAATCAGATCACTGTGTCACTCAGCTCTAAAAATGGTTGTTTCTCCCTTCTCGATTCACATTATCTTGAGGTTCAGCATCATACCACTCTGCTTTTCACCCAACAGGGGTTGGAATATAGAAGGGTTTTGCAACCATTCCTAGATTGGCTGAAGGGTTGTTGCAAATGACCCTTTTCCAAATCTGGAGCAAGAGATTACTGACAAGGGCTGGACTTCGCTGCTAATAGGTTATTTTAACAGCTTTAAAATAGTGTTGAAACAATTTAGTAAAAGAAAAAAAGCTGCCTGCCAAATAGTCAAAAAGTCTAAAATCATTTCATGGTAGGATTTTAATATGAAACCAGAGTTAAAATCAATTCAGTTGACTCTTATTTCAAACAGGCTTGTTTATTGTTGGGAGTGCGGGCAATTATTGAGCTACATCAGTGGAGTAAGAGTTTGGAAGTGGGGAAATTAACTTGCATGCTGTTAGCTTTGAGAATATTGCAATTTCTTAATCAAGCTAATAATTTAAAATTCTCCAAGTGATGGTCCCTATACATGTTCTATACATGGGTGCACATGGGTGGCAGGTATATTATGTGTCCCCCTCCTGCTTGCAGCTGAAGGTATAGTAGGTTACAATTACAATCAAGGACCTCTCCTTTGATGAACAGACTGTTATATGACAAAACGAACGGATCTCCTCACTCATTGAAGCATCCCTGGGCAATGTTAAGGACCCTCAATATGTATCCTTGGCTCTCACACTTCCTACCCCGTCTACTACCAGGTGTCAGAAGGAGGCCCCACATAGGAAGCAGAACTGCTCTCAACAACCTCACTTCCCTGCCTCTTCCACAATTGCCTCTGCCACTGTCACCTCCTTGACACCTTTCACCAGCAGTCAAAAGCCCATTTTGGACATGCCAGTCTACACCTGTGAACCTCCCCTGCTGCCACCTATGGTGTTCCATACTGTCTTTGGGGGGGCATCCTGCCCTATTTGCCCTCAATTGGTCAAGATCAAGATGAACAATAAGGTGCTGGAGATCATCCACCATGGATATTTTATAGAATTTCTCTCATTTCTCTCCCCCTCCCCTCCATCCACTTACTTCCCTCCCTGTGGACCTTCCCCATCAATGCATTCTCCAACAAGAAACAGATGCTTTTCTTTCTCTTCCCAAGAGCCATAGAGCATGGCCCACCTAATGTATGGCGCAAGGTTCCTATTCACCATGCATCCTCATCCTGAAGAAGGGTAGAAGGCATGGCCCCATTCTCAATCTTTGGGTGCTGAACATCTTTGAAATGATCCAAATTCCATATGGTGACCCTGGCATTGATTGTCCCATCTCTTTCCCCCTCCAAGGAGCCTGGTTCATAACTCTCAACATGAAGGATGGCTAGTTCTATGTGGCTATGCACTCAGCCCATTGTAAATTTCTCCATTTTCAGGTAGGACCCAACCACTACCAATTCCAGATCTTTTCAGCATAGTGATGGCTGCACGAGTCTTCTCTGTGCGCCACCTCAGCTATTTGCTATACCACTGTCCAGGTGATTGGTTCCCTGTCGTACTCTCCTGATGGGAACCCACCTTGCCTGTATGTGCCCTTTGTGCTCTCCTGGAATCTCTAGATATTTGTCAATGAGGAAAAGTCAGTGTTGATCCCTACACAGGCAGTCCACTTTATCGGAACAGGGCTCTGCTCCATCATAACACAGATCTTTCCTCTGGCAGGCTGATTCACAACCAGGACTGTTCTTGTGGACGTGTCTTACAGCCCGTGTACCACAGTCCACTGTTCTCTCTTTCCTTGGATACATAGCAGCTTGCATCTGAGATGAGACATGTCTGCATACACGTTGCCCTTAGATGTGCATCCTCTCCCCATATGGACCGTATTGTTCTCCACATGGTGCTGACCTCTCTCAAAATGGTGGACCAATACTTTCAAGGTCCAGTTTGATATATCTCTCACACACACACACACACACACACACACACGCGCGCGGCCACTGTCACAACCGCTGCCTCTGTCATGGGACAGAGCCTATCTAAACCATAACACAGCTACAGGAGGAAGATGCCTATAAATGTACTAGAACTGCGGACAGTCCAGTTTACATGCCAAGCATTTCTTTCTCTTATCTGATCCCACCACGTACAGTTGTTCTCCAACTAAACTGCACAGCATCTGTGTACATTAGCAGTTAGGCAGCACCAAGGCTCCCCACCTCTGTTCCGAGTCCGTCCATCCTTTGGAACTGATGCATCAACCACCAAGCCATGTACATCCCAAGTACCCAGAATTCCGTAGCCAGCATGCTCAGCAGACCTTTCTACCTCAGCTGCAAATGGGAGTTACTCAACGTACACTCTGGTACCTTCTTGCCAAATGCAGCACCCTTCAGTGGGATCTCTTTGCCATTTACAAGAACCTGTTTTTCCAGGGGAGCAATGGGAGAGTACTATCCAGGCGATGTTTTGCTCCTTTCCTGGACAGATGACCTCTGCTATGTCTTTTCCCCCATTCTCCTCTTCTTACAAGTGGTACTCAAGATCCTCTGGAACAGGACACCATGGTACTCAGAGCCCTGTTCTGTGTCTGTGCATTCTATTCCATGCACCTCCTCATATTCTCCACCCGCACACTGCTATGTCTCCGAGCACTCCAGTGTCCTCCATACATAAAATTGGAGCTGGATCTGGCATCCCAATTTCTGGCCTCTTCACCTCACGTCCTGGTGTTTGAATGAGACTCAAGGGTAGAAAGAGCATGCTTCAGTTCAGTGTGACACATCCTTAACCACACAAGTGGGCATCCACAGAGAATGGATACTTCATGTCATGAATGAAGATGCTTCACATCATAGGCTTGCCACCACTAATATCTGCATCTATCATCCTGGATTACCTTTTCAATCTCAAAACATTGACAGTGTTCAGTGCCTTTCTCCCCCCCTCCCCCCCAGGTGGCACCTTTATTGTTTACACACCCAGCCACCAATACTCAAATCCAGACCCCTGTGGATCCGTAACTTTGTTCTCTCCACCCTCACAGAGCTACCCTTTGAGCTGCTGGCAAAGTGCTTCCTCTCCCACCTTTCCATGAAGGATATTCTTGGTAACCATTACCTCAGCTAATTGGATCAGTGAACTGGTGGCTGGCTATGATGTATTTCTATTCCACCAGGACAAAGTGTCCTTAAGGCTGCATCCTAAATTCCTCCCAAAAGTATTGTCAGAATTCCACCTACATCAGTATATCCTCCTATCTACTGTTTTCTTCCCCCAAACCACATGCCTCCCACACAGTCAGGGTCTGCGCTCCCTTGATATCTGCTGTGCACTGGCATTCTACAACCACAAGACTCACTCCTTTTGCACATTGCTGAAACTATTTGTGTCCATGGCTATCAAGCAAAGGGCCAAGTCTTTTCTCCTGGTGACCCTGGTGTGCCACATCCACATGCTACAACACAATCCAACATACCCCAAGCCTGATGGCATGCGAGTGCAATCTACATGTACGCAAGCACTCCTGTATCCAGCAAAGACTGTGTGGAAAACTTCTGCCACCGTTCTGGTAACTCATAAATGGGTGATATCATACTATGTCCCCCTTCCTGCCAAGACTCAGAATTTTTGTTTAAGCACACACACCCTCCCAATTCCCAGGAGTGCCTTAAACGAGCAGGGTAGATAGCATTACTTTACAATAGCTTCTTATGACAAGGACCAGAAAAAGTTAGATCTTTTTTGAAAGGAAGGCCTACTCATCTGCAACTCTCCAGTTTTGAATAGCAAACTATTGGGCACTCATGGCCAAGTTTGGCTATATGAATTGCAACAAGCTTGCATCCTTTATTGAAGATCTTCAAGAGGATCATAGAAAACACTTCTAAGCTGACATTAAGGAAGGTCAATTAGTAGCCAGAACCTCTCTACCAGCAAACCTGGATGTTGTAGACACTGCTGCTAAATGCATCTCCACAGTAGTTGTCATGTGCATCCATTTGTCAGGATTCCTGAGAGAGGTTCAAAATACAGTTAAAGCCCTTGTCTTTCATGGTCAGAAGCTCATTTCAGGGACTTTGAACAAGTCCCTGTACACCCTGAACGATTCCATTGAGATATTTTGGTATGTATACTCCTACAAATATGAGGACATTTAGCAAGTCTCAAACTGCTCAGAGATAGCATGCAGCACAGTTCTCTACTTTTTACAGACCTACTGAACACACTAGCAGAAGAGATTTCAGAGGAAAAGTGCTTCCTATGTGTCTTCAGCAAGTCCCCAGTCATTAAAATAATGTTTACAAGTTGGTTGAGAGCATGATTGCTCTCTCACCTCTAGTTTGCAAGCTGCAGCCTTTTATCTACCTCCTCACTTCTGGAGGATGCCTTTCCCATTTCCTACAGGTCTGGAAGCATGTTATAGCAGTCTTAGTGCTTATAACATTGCACTACATCATCTATTTCAAGTTCCTCTTCAGGGACCCCTTTTATGAGACTATATGGAGTCAAGAAGTATACTCTTTCCTTTGTTTAGGAGCTGATGAACTGGTCCCATCCTCTCACAAGTGAAAAGGGTTTTACTCAAAGTATTTTCTTGTGGATGAAGGCTGATGTAGATCTAAGACAAACGAACAAATTTGTAAAGCCTTAAACATTCCAGAGGATGACTCTGGCAACTGTAATCCCTTCCCAAGAGGCAGATTAGTGTCTGCCTTTAACCTACAGAATACCTATTTCTATATAGCGAAACCGCTCGCACTCAGAAGATACCTTCACTTCACCAGGTTCCAGTACCATTTTTAGTCTCGAGTTCTTTCCTTTAGCCTCTTTTCAGCACCATGGGTGTTCTTGTAGCAGTAGTGACTGCTTACCTTCATCGAGAAGTAATTTTAGTCTTCCTGTATCTCAATCAGTACTAACATTCACTCAGACAGCTCTCACCTTCCAGCTACGTCCCCAGCTAAACAAAATGCAAGTTAACCCCTGTATAGCCCCAGCTGGGTTGGAGCGCCCCTGTCCACGGTAGGCCCAATCGGGCTGGAGCAGCCCCCTGGCCACAGCAGGTGGGGAGGACAAGAGCAAAGAAGACAAGGTTACTCACTTGGTTCAGTAGCTGTGGATCTTTGAGATGTTTGTCCTTTTTGGATGGTCCATTCCTTTCAGACTGTGCTTCAGACTGTTCTTACTGGACACTCTGCTAAAGAAAGAACGGACTATGGTTCCCCTGCACAGCCCTATGTACGCTTAAGGTACATCTATACTGCAACACTATTTCAAAATACTAGCACTATTCTGAACTAACATACACAGCAGGCAGTTATTTCAAAATAGTGTAAAAATACTGTCAAGCTGGCGGACTTCTTACTCCGACCCTTGTAACCTTCATTGTACGAGGAATAAGAGAAGTCGGAAGAAGAGTGCTGTATTTTGTAATAAGTGCTGTGTAGATGCTCCCTATTTCAAAATAATCTGTTTTGAAATAAGATATGCAATGCAAGTAGCTCAATTTGCGTAGCTTATTTTAAGTTAAACCCCACAGTGTAGATGTGCCCTCTGAGTGCATAGTGTTGCATGTGCAGGTCAAACAGACACTGCTAATGGAAAATCTCTCAACAAGGGCTCAAAAAGCACCCGTGAGCCAGAAGTTGAGCCACCCATAGGGGAAACATCTCAAAAAACCACAGTTACAACACAAGATAAGTCATCTTTTTTGTTTGTTTGTTTGTTTTGACAGTAGTGGGAGAGCAATTCCTACTTCTTAATTAAGTACATTATCCTATTCTGTGTTATGAAGGACAAAGGTTTGCCCTGAATTGTTAGAGGCTCATTTCACTTATTTGTAATTTCTCTGATCTTGAATAGTGTTGCATTTTGTCTGAAGTTAATGTTTATTTTGCTTTCTTCTTCTTAGTGTGCAAGGAGCCTCCTTACAAAGTGGAGGAGTCCGGCTACGCTGGTTTCATTATGCCTATTGAAGTATACTTCAAAAATAAGGTAGACTCCTATTCATGTAATTGTTTTGATTACTTTGAACCACACCAGACAGTTAAATTGCTTGGCAAAAAGATGCTAAATTATGTGACCGTTTTATGTGTGTTTTTTATTGCTGTGATAAACAGAAATTGGCTGTGATTGTTGGAAGCAGTAGCAAGCTTTCTGCCAGACTTTGAAAGGAAACATTCCTGTCTAGTAGAGAAAATGTCTTGTAAGAGCCCTGTAAGCAGTGGAAGTGTTGGTAGTACCATTAGACAATATTGACCTCCCATGGGTAGACAAATTCTCTGGTTCAGCGCCAGTCAGGTCCTGAGGGTGCTGCCAGACTAGAGAAGCTCAACCTGTACTTGAAACTTTTAGATCATAAGATTCCACAATAACTATGACTGTTAAAATGCAGTATTAATTGCATATACCGAAGATGAAAATAAAGTTTAGGCCTTCCTCAAAAGTCCTATGCTACATGGCTTGAAGAAGGTCACAAAAACTAGGGATTTGTCAGAGTAACTGCACTTGTATATTCAATTTCATATTCGTTCTTTGTTGTGACCGTGTACTGTGTGTTCCCTTTTTATTACTACACAAAAAATGTGATGAGCACCAGTTGGGTTTGTTGTGTATAACGTAGCTGAAACAAACCCAGGAAATAAATATCAAGCCATCTAACAGTATATAACGTCTGCTTCCCCACTGATGACATTGGTTAAAGGGGAGAGCAGGCAAGGGGGCTGGAGCTGGGGCTCTACCGGCCAGGCTGAAGCAGGCCTGCAGTGGACCAGGATGCCCTGCTGGCGGGGCTGCTGTGGCATCCTGGCCAGGGCAGCCCCTGTCGGCAGTGGGCCCCCGTGGGGCTGGAGCAGCCCTCTGCCTATGACAGGTGGGGAGCACTGCTCCAGCCCCCACCGGTTAACAGGTTAACCAGTTAAACATTCACATCCCTATTTCCCATCCATGGGCAGATACCTTGCTATTGCCATAACTTCTCTACACCACACCAGTACTTTAACTCTGCCTGTCTGGCCTTCCAGCATCTCATTTACTGAATACACTGGGCTGCCTTCATTCTTTCCTTCTGCACCTCTCCATCACATTCCCTCTTCTCGACACTATTATATGTGACTGTTTGATGTTGTCTGTTTACCCTTCGTAGCTTGTGGAGCTCTGAGCTTTATTACTGAAGCGGTAATGGGTCAGTGAGCAAGTCCAAAAAAATTCCCATTTGCCTTGTGTTATGAGTCTGGGAAATGGGGTGAGGCCAAGCTGTGTCAAGAGAAGTGGGCATTGCAGAGGGTGGGGGATAGAAACCACTTTGCCCAGACCCACAAAAATGAGATTTT